TCACTGTGAAAGAGACAAGACACACCGAAGATGATCGTGAGAGTTTCCCCAAGGCGAAAGAAAGAACACCTGTAGCAAGCGGAGAACAAACCAACCAACGACAGCAGCAACATATTCCCGAACAACCACAATGCGGCCATGAACTGCTGCACTCCAAGGAGGAGAAGGCGATGTTGGTCCCGCCAACCTTGGGTCCAGGCCAGGAAGGAGGACCATTTAGCCTTGAGGAGCAAGCACTAGCAACGGTGAGTCCTAAGGAAGTGCATACAGAGCAGCACAAGCGGCATGAAGCAGGAGTGGAGAAGGATAAACAAAATGTGTCTCCAATTGTTCAGCAGGGAACGACAGGACAAAGTACAAAGAAAAAAAAAACAAAACTGAAGTTGGATATGAGCGCTGTCCGCAGCTCATTGGAGTCAGAAAAGGAGGAGTCTGATTATAATCAAAAGCTAGATCTTCATCTGCAAGAAGCGCATCATGGGGCCACCTCTGCAGCAGCAAACTCACTGAAAAAGAATTCACTGAAGAATGCAGAGCCTGATAACCGATCAACAGTAGCCGTTACAACTGCTGCGGCAGCATCAGCATCTGGAGACATTCAGCGTGCAAGTTCCGAAGTGATCAGATCTGCTGGTCACAAGGATACATCCAAATCGCATGCCGTGACCGGCCGGAAGTCGTCAAAGAATTCCGAGGATCATCTTGTGCCCAGGCCAGGAGAAGAAAATTACCTCGTGATTCTACAATCTGATGAGGAATTGTCCAGGTTGGAAACGGTAAGACTTGCGGAGTACGTGCATCCGGCAAGCACGCATGATGTTTTGCCCATAGCGAATCAGAAGGGTCCTGTCCGCAGATCAACACAGTCTGGATCGATGAAGTCCGAGGGGGGACAAGAACACGGCTTATCGTCTGCATCTACGTTACACGATGAGCATCATCATCGTGCCACCGAGAATATCGGTGGCTCATCAGCGCAGAAAAGAGCTGCAGTGACTTTAGGGGCTTCCGCTAGTGGTACTTCTGCACTGTATAGTGAGAAAGAGGTACCCACTAGAGTGGGAGAAACACAGTCCTATACACCTGGTTCATTATCTGTGTCCAGCAAGTCCTCCACTGAGGACAGGCTGGCAGCATAATATTTAGTTGAGTTATACGTACAAAATGTATCTTCCATGTCAGCTGCTTGACAATTATTCAAAGATGGTCTAGGGAAGGAAGCCTGAAGGGTTTTGAAAGGCAGCATGCATGGTTTTCAAAAAAAAAAATAAAAATAAATAACAGAAAAAAAGAAAAGAAAAGAAAGGAGGTTAGGAGTGCGCGACAGAGGTCGGTCAGCTGTGCAATGGATGCCTGAGCAAGTGAGCTTCTCCCATTGTCGCTGTTGTTGTTTATGTCGCTGAAGCTGCCATTGTTGCTGTCATTGTTGCTTCCATTGCTTCTTTTTTTTTTTTGATTTTTCTGTAAAAGCGACGACCTTGAGATATTGTTGTCGAACTGACCAGCCGACGGCCTTGAGATACCAATGTCGAACTGACCAGCTGACGGCCTTGTTTTTTTTGTGTGCTGACCCTGCCCCGACCCCCAATATTTTCGGAATGAGTCGTTTTCAATGGATTTCTTTTGCCTGGGCGGTGTACTTGTGGTTTAAGAAGCAGAATCATTTCATCAAAAGAACACATTCACAAGGTAAAAAATTGCAACGCGCCTGCGCCACCGGTTAGTGGACGCACCAAGCGCTAGGGGCTTGCGCTTCAGCGGTAGCTCCGACGCGCTGATTCTCGCCATGCACAGCGGTTCGAGTTTTAGAACCGCGCGCCTCACCCTTCGACACGGGCATCTGCCTGCAGCCCAACTTCCCACCACCGTGCGCTCCCGAGCTCCCAAGCCGCCATCGCCAGCAGCAGAGGAGAGCCCTGCCACACCAGGAAACAACTTCCTTTGCGAGCGTGAAAGTCTACATCGCCAGATGTAGAGGAGCCCCCCGCAATACCTGGACGTCACGGACCTCCAACTCGACGCTTCCGGAAGACAACGGAGGTTCCTGCACTTTCGTAGCCGTCAACACGAAGCCGTCAGCGACAAGTACCAATCTCGAAGGGATGCATGCAGCCCCGTGGACAAGCTGACAGCCCGATCAGCCAGCAGCCATCACCAACGGAGGAGATCGTTCTCCACCTACCAGACGACTCCCGATGCGTCGTATGAGCCCGGTATTTCCGGACCAAGCCCGAACCTCATCCTTCCTGCGAACCTCCCCCAACCCCCCCTAACCCCCCGCGAACCTCCCCCAACCCCCCCTAACCCCCCGCTCCCTCACCCGACAACTTCGGATAACTTCCACCCCACTCCTCTATACTAACCCACTCCTGGCGCCCCACACCCCGCCCTCAGGCACAATCAGTACACCACACGAGCACCCTTTACTCCCCCTGGATATCCCAGCTGCACACGCACCGACTCAAGTAGCATCAAGATCCGCCCCTCACAGCTAGCCTCCCCTACCCACCCTGATCCAAGCCTTATCACACCGTCTCCTTCCCCCCCCCCNGCTCCCTTCTCCACATGGCCTTGAAGTAGGGGCAGTTGCGACCCCTACTGGCGGCTGCCTTTTGACTGTTGGGCAGCCCAACGGGCCTGTCTATACTTTGGACAAAATTTGATAACGTGGGCCGGGTCACCACAGAATACGCACTGACCCATGTTCACACGTTCCTGCCATAAGCGCTCGTCCAAGCCCAGATCTTCCTAGGGCCTGCCCTGCGGCAAGCCTGGGTGCCATCCTCCTTGAGGCGCCCTTCCACCTCCTCGTTGTGGGGACCGGTTACCCTGGCAATTCAACGGGGGACCTTGACCCCTACCTCCCGCTCGGCGGTTTCCCTGCCCGCCAACCCCCTGTGCGCCCGGTCCTCGGCCTCCCATGGCCTGGCCCCTTTGGACCTGGCCTCCTCCTCCTCCTTGCGGCCTCCCTCCAGCCGCGACAGCAGCGTAAGACCTCCCCTGCCCCACACTATTGCCATCATCTTCAAGTCCCCACTCAATCTGATCATATGGGACCTCTTCTGTACCACCCTCCTCTAATGTCAGGATCAAGTGATCCTTGGCCTTGACTTGGCCCGAGATGGTACGATCTTTCCACTTCTTCCCCTTCTCCAGGTCCTTATGCCAGAAAGTGGTAACTGGCATAGACTTCGACTCATACAGGATGACCTCTCTACTCAATACATCGTAAGTCATGCCGGCCTGCTGAGATTTGTCAAAGAAATTCCCGCGTAGGGCCTCTGGAATGGCATGATAAAACAACTGGACCAGCTGGGGCTCAGTGACCCCGTGGTCCGGGACGGCTACCAAGTCGTCCATGGGACCCTTGAGTGCCTTGGCACTCCTCCACTGTGGGGAGTGGATCGTTTGGAGCTTATCAGAGGCTCTAATGCCTCGCGTTGGGTCAGCGAACCGCTCCTTGAGGAGCTTGAGGAATTGGGAAAGAGGAGTGACTTTGGAATATGCAACCAGGTTGTTTTCACAACCGGCTGTACGCGCGAGAGACCTGGCGAAGCTAGCCGCTTCGTCCTTCAGGGCCTGGAAGGCCACGAGGACTTGCTCCTCCATCAGGATATGCTTTAAATAAATGTAACTATTGACACTGGCCTCCCAGTTGTCAAAGTTCTCGTCCTTCTTCCCCCCGTACGCGTCTGGGAACTTAAGTTTCACTGGGTCCTTACGGGGTCAGCGGCTGCAACTTTGGCACCCTGAATGGCGCCCTCACAAAACTTCCCTACGTTGTCTCTCAATTGCTTGACTTCACCCCCAATATGGGTGACGATTTCGCGCGCAAAATCTCTGAACCCGGGCCGCATGGCACTCAACTCTACATCCTGGCTCCAGCTTGCCTGGCGCTCCTCCATCCAGGCCCTTCCTCAACACCTCCAGGTACCCTAGTACTTTGTCCCACTTGGCCTTATCGTCTGGTTGGGCCAGCACCTCCGCTCTACACTCCTGCACCTTTGCCACTACTGCGGTCATCTTATTCACTTCCTCTCTCCTCCTCTTCTTCTCCCTCTTCATTCTCAACTTCCATGCTAACTTTTGCTCGTCTTCCCTCTCTCTTCGTTCCATCGGGTCTTTCATGGCTGCTGGCTGAGCGGCCAGCGCAGCCTTCTCATCCTTAGTCACATAGGACTTTGCCTCCTCGTCTTCTCCCAACGATAAATTAGCGACCCACTCGCTGATCCTCTTCTCCAGCTCGGTATCTGTCTCCCACTTCATCGTGCCACCACTACTTCCTTCCCCACTCTCAATTCTCATCCTCTCTTTCTCTTCTTCTGCTGCCGCTTCTGCTTCAGCAGCCTTCCTTCTTTCTTCCTCCTCCTGTTGTACCCTATTCATCTCCTCCTCCAATCTCTTCATCTTCGCCGCCTCCTCGTCTGCGATAGCCTTTAGCTTGGCTTGCTTTTCATGCTCTTTCCTCTCCTTATTCTCTCTGACTAAGGCGGCCATCTTTTCTTGCTGCTCAGTGGTGTAGGGGCTAGTCTCCTTCCCACTACGGGTCTCAACCATGGTGATAAGTGTACAACCGGGTTAGTGGTTCCAA